ATTGTTATCGGCACGAGAAAAAAACAAGTTCGTTTCTAACCTCTATAGAAAAAATACTACTACTGCGACAAAAACGTGTTTTCGTACTGGAATAGTAGACACTTCCAGCTATCCAACGCTGCATTCGTTTCCCACCCTACCCCTCTAGGACGCCTTCTGCGAGCGCAGTCTCGTTATTTAATAGCCAGACCTCGTATAGTGTTACATCGCCTCCTATGCGCAAACTGAAGTCATTCTTTCGATGAACAGAGTATAGTTTCAGTACTGGCAATGAATATCGGAACGCATCCAAAATCTAAGAAAACATTGCATGAAGCGAACATAAATGCATATTTGCCAGAATACAATATTTTATTATTATAAACTTCATAAACTAAAACGAACACAGAGGAACAAATAAAAATAAAAGGATTATTCGAGATTCTTAGGAACTAAAAAAATGTAGCAGTCAAATTAAATAAAACAAATAAAAATAAAATCCTATTCTTTCAATTAAAACACTTTATTATTGCAACGGCAATAAGCGGATTTATCACGTTTATAGTAATAATAATTATAATAATATCCACATTAAAAAAAATAAACGGAACAAATCTAAGAAATCGTACCGCTAGATTTAGATGCAGACAATGAATTTTATTTAGAGATTTATTTTGAAACGCAGTTATAGTACATGTTTTTGAGATATATATAATAAAATTTGAAAAAAATTACGTTTCACTGTTTCTTTCTCAATGGGGAAAGTGCGTTGTAGCCCGAACGCTACCACGATTAAGTCTTGCACAGCAACGATCGAGCTCGTGAAAATGCAAAATTGCTACCACGTTTAAGCCTTGCATTTTAGCGATGAGCCACGGAAATGTGAGATTGCAAGTTTAACAATCCACGCGCGGATAAATCCGTTATCGGGAATGATTAATACATGATTATTGGTCATACCGATTGTCAAAATGCGCAATAATACGACATTGCGGTTCTTTATATTTGGTTATCTAATCGTAATCGTTATACGTAATTGTATCTAATCATTTGACAGTAAATTTAATTAACACGTTACGCGCTATGCGAGTGTCCGGTATCATATAACTCGATAACAATGATCAGTTGTTAACAATAAGTATCGCGAGTGCGAGAAGTAACGAGATAACTGTCTTTAAGTATTAGTATTATCTCAGCTACGGGAATCAATTATAACTAAATTATCACAACAGGAAATAAAATTTGTAAAAGGGGAAATAATTTTGTAATAGTGTTGAAAAAAAATATACTACAAGTGAATGTCTTTCAAAAGTTCTTCGTGATCTACCAATCTGCGCTTCTCATAGGTCTTAACCCTTTAGGCGAATTGAATCCAGAAAATTTCCTTTGTTGGAAAGATACAAAATATTTATGGGAAAATGGGATAAAACTTCCTGATTATGTTGCATGTTTACTGGAATCCACATTTTGCAGTCATTATGTTGTAAAAGGCACAATTACCAAATAATAAAAATGAGAATAAATACCTTAGCCAGTTATACATAGCCAGTATAAAATGGCTCAAATGACTTTGACATTGACCATCAAAAAAGTCAAAGTTATCAACCTTTTCTGTCATTTATTCATTGAAAAGTTATTAACAAAGCAATTTTAATAGTATATAATTTTCGGGCATAAAATATTTTATTATATATTCTATGTGTACTCTGCTATATAATTTACATAATGCTTTTCTTTTATGTTAATAAAATGGGATAAAGTAGACATTTCACTTTAAGCCAAGTCCACCCCACCCAGATTGGGGATGTTCGACTTTCCACACGAAGCAAAGTATACCTTTTCCTTGCCCAGGGATATCCGATTTTTCATGCGAAGTGAGGTCCACCCCACCTTCCCCTTTGTCGAGGAGCGTTCGACTTTCCACGCGAAACAAGATCCACCCCATCTCCCCTTCTCCTTTCTAGGGACATTCAACTTTCCACGGGAAGTGAAGTTTACCTCACTTTTCTCCCTGTTCTACATAGGACAAAATTTAGGACCCTGGCAGTATTAATGTTCGAATGAGTTTTGTTCGACGAGTGATCGAACCTGTAGGAAATAAACAAAAAGAGAGGGAATTCTAAACTAGGGTGCGTTCCGAATAAACGTCCAGACGACAACTTTTTTTCAGAAACATTTGATTTTACCGGGCGATTTGTCCAGATGTTGATTTAGTGTCGTTCAGAATGGGTTAGAAGAACGCCTGCACGACAACTTTTCGTCGCATTCGAGACTGAGGCGAATTTCGCCCATCATGCGCAGAAAAGCCTATCACCTATGCTACGTGGTCTATAAGAGCTATATGATAGATTTGTCATAAGTGATTTGAGGTTATTTTATTTATTATTATAAAAAACAAGAAAAAGTCGGGACAGTACCACTATTTAAGAAGAAAAAAAAGTTTGAACTTTGTAAATGATTATATACACTTTATTTATTAAGACTTTAAATACAAAGCGCCTTCCCGGTCCGAGTGTTAAGATGTTGAACTACTATCTAATATACATTCAATTAAATTGAATTAATATTTCAGAAATAAATTGAGAGCCGATGAAATTATCGGATTCACACAATCAATCTGAAACAAATAATCCCCCCAAATTCTCCCAAATCTTAAAAACACACGGAATGTAAGAGATCCGGGTTCGATATTTCAGAAATAATTAATTTTTCGCAATAAGTTTATTACAGTTTTTTAAGATTTGGGAGAATTTGGGGGGATTATTTGTTTCAGATTGATTGTGTGAATCCGATAATTTCATCGGCTCTCAATTTATTTCTGAAATATTAATTCAATTTAATTGAATGTATATTAGATAGTAGTTCAACATCTTAACACTCGGACCGGGAAGGCGCTTTGTATTTAAAGTCTTAATATTTATATAGACGGTCTTGTTTCCAATCATACACTTTATTTACATTATTTTTTTTGTATAATAATATATTAATGTAAAAAAAGGAAGCGGTAAAACATATATAATTTTATTAATGAGAATTATTTAAATAATATAACAATTATATTAATTTATTTTATGTTATTAATTTTGATAATCTAAACAATTAAATGAATGTATCACGTCATATTACCCAAAGACACTCTTGCTCGGATGAAAAATTTCCATTCGGAACGCACTCCTGGAGTAAGCACGAATCGGATGTATGTCGATCCCATAGCGCTCGCGCTGGAGCTGTCCCGGTTCCAGCGTAGAGTGATGTGTTGTGGTTTTCATTCGTATACGAATAAAATATGTGGTGCGATGCTATGTGTATCGTCATCTGTGGAGCATGCGCCAGTGGAGCATGCGCGCTTCGTTAAATGATTAGAAGAATTCACGAAAAGTCGAATCGTGTCACTGCCAAGTTAGAGCCGTGGCAGCACTTCACACTGGAGTCAATGCAATCGCTTGTGAGTTGGTATGATTTTGTCGCTGAGGAATCTCAGCTGTTCCAAATTTTTTCTCATAAGGGCGTTTGATTTTTCATGCTATATAAGGTCCTTCTCTCACTCCTCCCTGTCTGCGAGTTCAAAAATTTGTATCTTATGTTAAAAAATTATGTGCTATTTATTAACATTGTTTTGTTAATAACTTGTCAATGAACGAGCGATAGAAAAAGTTGATGACCTTCTTGAGGGTTAATCAAGATTATTTGAAAGTTATTGGTGCTGGCTATGTAAAGATAAATATTTACCAAAATCAGATCTAAAAATTTTATCTTAACTGTTGTAAATTACATTATTTGTTTTTCTTATAAAGATGTGACCGGAGACTACTAAAACTAATTTGTTAAATAAATACGCATAAGATTATATAAATATTTATTTATTTACATTATTTTCTTTTACCTAATTTACTGTATTATTAATTCTTAATACACACCTTGGTTATTCGTGTCCTGCGCATTTCTTTTATTTGAAATGCTAAGGGCACCTGGTTAAATACCGATCACTTTTCTATTTCTAAAAAAAGTTTGGCATCTAGAGAACAAGTTTTGTGCGTTGTCGATCAATTCGTATGCATCCTTTAATTGACATAACTCCGAAGTTCACTTCTGGGTTACAAATTGCCCAACGTGTATACAGAGTGTACATTTTTTGTAATTAAAAAATTATTATTTTTTTTTTATTTTCAACTAATAAACTCTTGATTGTATTGCGGGAATATTTCGCTAATTATTAAAAAAAAAAAATTTAATAATCCTAGAACAACATATTAGCCCTTAAAAAAATGATGGTTTTTGGCATCCTTGTGTTAAATGTTGTCAGTAATATTATATATTATGTTGTTTGTAATGTTATAAAGAACATTTTCCTAATAAATTATAAATTTTTTTTAAAACAATAGCAATAATAAAATGTATTGTTTAAAATGTAAATGCAAAATCTTCAATTTATAGCATTCATGCATATTAAAAAACATTTTTGTATTACTCAATAACTACATTTTTTGGACAGCCAACACTCGAACCATTTTTTTTAGTTTGGAATGTCAATTTTAAGATATTGAACCATATTTTTCCTTTAAACATTTTTGTTTCAGAATTTTATATTTTACAAACAGTGCATTTTTCTTATTCTGTTAACTATTTAGTTATAATAATTTATCTATCATATATATAATTTGTTATGAATATACAACTGTACAATTACTTTCTAAAGATGTCAAAATATACGTAAAAATTGTTTAATAATTTTGATATACTTGTAAAAGTGATGAAAATTAATCGAGAATACTAATGACCAAACGAGTGTAATAAGGGCGCCCAAAACTAAGGTGTGTATTAAGGGTTAACAGGTTGTAGTTTTTTTTTTCAAAACTTTTACTTTTTTTAACTAGAATCTTTTGCATATCATTTATCCTTAAATATTAAGTTACATTGATATTGTGTTTATATTGTTATAGGTTGCTATAAAGATAATAGATAAAACTAAACTAAATGAGGAAAATTTAGCAAAAATTTTTCGTGAAGTACATATAATGAAAAGATTACGACATCCACATATTATAAGACTGTACCAAGTAATGGAAACAGAGAAAATGATATATTTAGTGACAGAATATGCTCCTGGTGGTGAAATATTTGATCATCTTGTTCGAAATGGTAGAATGGCAGAACCAGAGGCACGAAGAGTTTTCCAACAGATTGTACTTGCCGTTCATTATCTGCATCAACAAAGAGTAGTTCATCGAGATCTTAAGGTCTATTTGTTATGTTATATTAAAATTGGATGTTCTATGATTTTAATTGTTAATAAAATTTATTACAAATCATTTGCATATTATATGAATATAATTAGCATCTCCCCTTATTTTTAGGCTGAAAATTTGTTACTTGATGCAGACAATAATATAAAAATTGCTGATTTTGGCTTTAGTAATGAATATACACCTGGTGTTCCACTTAGTACATGGTGTGGTTCACCACCATACGCTGCACCTGAAATTTTTGAAGGAAAACATTATGATGGTCCAAGAGCTGATGTCTGGGTACGTTATCATTTTTATATACATATTATTTTTTATTCTAAAATTGCTGTGTATAATTATTTAAATATAATTTTATATATTTGTTACAAATAAATCTTTTTAATAATACATGCGCGCGAGCGCGCGCGCCCGCACACACACACACACACACACGCACGCACACACACACAGAGGCGCGCGCGATATAAAATATGTAGAATACTATGTCACAAAAGTTGTATATAGTCTTAAAAAGAACAAATAATTAATTCAATAAAAAATATATATATAAGCCAATCAGAGTCAATGCCAGTTGTTTGGATGCACAGATTTCTTTTTATTCTCGTGTGTTTAATAAAGTAAATACAACAATAGTATAATAATAAACGTTTTGAACCTTTGTTTTGGGTCTTTATCAATATAAAATATAATAATTCCAAATATGCGTAAAATCTAATTAATAAAAATGTGATAATGGTCAATCTAATAGACTCTTCAGTGTGATGAAACACGACAATTTTAACTGTTCTTTTTTACGCAATTTCCAATTTGCTATGTAATGAATAAACTTTAGAATTAGTTCTCAATTTAACATATTTTAGCTTCAACAACAAAAATTTACAAACAGACTTTCGGAGTATCGATAGGTTTACTATTATCACCTATTATATCAGATATTGTTATGTATAAGATCTAGAAACAAAAGCATTACAGAGTCTTCCAATTTCACTATCTCTTTATGTAAGATATGTTAATGACATTGCGTTAACATATGATGCGTCGCATATTGATACATTGGTGAACATATTCAACTCATATCATCCCAGATTAAAATTTACAATCAAAATAGGCGAAATATGACACTTTAAATTTCGTTGATGTTTGCCCGATTAAAAAAGGAAAGCTTACTCATAATTGGTACCATAAACTCTTTTTTGGCCGCTACTTAAATTATTTTTCTAGACATCCCTTATGCCAAAAAAGTGGGGACAATTGGATTAAGAGGGTCTCTCTCCTACATTACAAAGTTAAAAAAGTCGATTTTTTTATTATAAATTGATACTACAACTCTTCGAGAATATGTCCCTAAAATTTTAGAGCGAAATTCGAAGTCCTTCGATATAAATTCAGTGCTTGTATATACGGGTGCATGGCGCGCAGGTATAATAAATAATTAAAAAATTTTTTTTATTATAGTTCTGAAATACTCTTAAAGTCATTCAATTTTTATTCTGGAAATTTTTTTTATCTCTTACAGTTTCGATGATATTCGCTTCGAAAGAAAAAAAAAAACGATTTTTTCTGAGGGGGTGTTTCACTCCTAAATCTCAAGATAAGCACAAACAAAAAAATATGAGTCTAATATTTTTTCATGTTCTACAACGTATCCAAAGCTTAAAATTGGTGAGGGTCGGTTCCTTTGTTAGTAGCACCAGAGAGGCCCGAGTTGCTCGTAGAACGACTCAAATTGCTCAAAATGAATTCCATGAGGAAGCTGAAGGATTGTTGTATGTCCCTGGAATAACAGATTAGCCTCCGAGCACTGTAAGTACTCAAGAATTAAATCGAAAACTTTAAACGCGTTTTTCTCAAAATCTGTTTTTTTGCATTTTCGTCAATTTTGTGTACAAGATTGAGAAAAAAGTATTTGTCCGATCGACTTATCTTCCTTTAGGATTCATTAGTTAGTTAATAGTCAACTATCCTCGATAAATCTAAAAAGTTAAGTAAAAATTAATATTAACTATTTTTGTTGCATAAACAAGCGGCTGCTACGTAGTAAAAATCGTTTTTTTCAAAGTCGCACAAATTTAAATTTATATATATATTTTTTAATTTTTTAGGTTTATTTAGGATGATATTCTATAAAAATTAAAAATATTTTTTTATTTTTTATTTCTGACAAGAATTATAATCGCTATAAGGATGTACACAAAATCTTAACGTTGCGTCGTGAAGCCAAATTAAATGTTTATATTTTTATTATTTCTAATACTTTTTTTCACATACAAATTTGTGTACGTACTCTACAATAGCTATATTAAAACGTATAAAAAGTTTGATCAATAAACATTAGTTTTCCTTTTGAAAAAAAATTACGAAAAATCATCTTGTTTTCGATCTCTGTAGAAGACTCCCTTAATCACGGACATCAAACTGTAATAATTTGCCGATATGAAAAAACATTATTTTTGTTCATGTCCCTTTTATATTTTTCAATTATATTTTTTTTT